AAGAACGCACAGGGATGCAACTTGCCGTCGATCCGTTGGGAGAGAACCGCCCCCACGCCCGAATCGGACGCGTCCACCTCGACGACGAAAGGCCGGCCGAGGTCCGCCTGGACGAGGACCGGAGCCGAGGAAAACAGGTGCTTGAGCCGATCAAACGCTTGCTGGGCTGCGGAGGCCCACTGGAAAGACAACTTAGGAGAAGTTAGGTTGGTTAGAGGAAGGGCTACCTTGCTGAAATCCCTGATAAAGCGGCGGTAGAAATTGGCGAAGCCCAGGAACCTCTGCACCTCCTTGCGGGTCTTGGGAATAGGCCATTCCACTACGGCTTTGACTTTGGCCGGGTCAGCTCGCAAACGCCCCTGTTCCACAATGAAACCCAGAAAAGAAACAGTTTCCACATGGAACTCACATTTCTCCGCTTTCACAAAAAGGCGGTTCTCCAATAGGTGCCGTAGAACCAGACGTACATGGTTGATGTGCTCAGTCTGCGACCTGGAAAAAATCAGAATGTCATCCAGATACACGAAGACAAAATGGTTAATAAAGTCCCTGAGCACATCATTAATCAGGGCCTGGAAGACCGCGGGGGCGTTAGTGAGACCGAAGGGCATCACTAAGTATTCGAAGTGCCCCAGGTGGGTGTTGAAAGCCGTCTTCCACTCGTCACCCTTGCGGATGCGAACCAGATGATAGGCACTCCGAAGATCCAGTTTGGTGAACAGGACTGCCCCCTGTAATAGTTCGAATGCCGAGGCCAGCAGGGGGAGTGGATATTTATTCCTAACAGTGATCTTGTTCAGCCCTCGAAAGTCAATGCAGGGACGCAGGCTCTTATCTTTCTTCTTTACAAAGAAGAATCCTGCTGCTAAAGGCGAAGTAGATGGGCGAATAATACCTGCGACCAGAGACTCCGTTATGTAGCATTCCATGGCCTCGCGTTCCGGTTTAGACAGACTGTAGAGCCGACTTGCTGGCAGGGGAGCGCCTGGGAGTAGGTCGATTCCACAGTCGTAAGGCCGATGTGGAGGCAAAGACAACGCCTTACTTTTGCTGAATACCTGGCCGAGGTCGTGGTAGTCGGCGGGCACCAAGGAAAGGTCGGGGGGTGAGGAGCTTTTCGCAGAGGCGGTCCCAGGATTGTCCGGGACAGCGGCAAGTAAACATTGTTCATGACACCGCGTGCTCCAGCCAGTTACACACCCTTTGGCCCAGTCGATTTGGGGGTTGTGATGTTGGAGCCAAGGAAATCCCAGTACCAGTGGGGTGTGGGGGGCTTTGAATACCAACAAACTGATTTTCTCAGAGTGATTTCCCGAAATAATGAGTGTAATCTCCTGAGTGCGATGTGTGACGGAGGCTAGATGGCCGCCATTTAAGGCTGAGACCTTCAGGACCTCTGGAAGGGGAAGTAGGGGCAGGCCTAAGATGTTGGCTAACTCCTCGTCTAGGAAATTTTGTTCAGAACCAGAGTCAATGAGTGCGCAGCAGGAGTGAGTGAGGGAATGAGACATTAATTTAGCAGGGCAGCTGAGGTGAGGGAACACTTTTGTTGTGGCGCCCGCCAGTATCCCCACAATTACTGACGGGCCGACTCTTTTACTCGGTCTGGGCCGGAGTCAACAAAATGTCTTCTTTTTCCACAAAGAAAGCACTCACCAGTCCGTTGTTTGCGCCCCAGTCTAGAGGAGGAAAGCTTGGCTCCGCCGAGCTGCATGGGTTGCTCTTCATCCCCGTGTCTTCTGCCGAACTCCCGCATGTGGTCGTCTAAGTTAATACACATATTGATTAGAGCAGACAAAGCTTTAGGCAGTTCCTTGGTTGCTAACTCACGCTTAATATTCTCATTAAGGCTGTTGAGGAAGGCTCCACGCAGTGCTTTCTCCTCCCAGCCCGACTCCTCCGCCAGGATCCAGAACTCCACGGAAAAGTCAGCAACACTCCTCCTACCTTGCTTCAGAGAAAACATGCGATGACCTGCAGCATCCGAGCTAGCGCCTTTATCAAACACACAGCGAAACTTGCTGAGAAAGACGTCATATGACACAGAGGGCTGGGTATTTAAAACTGCCTGAGCCCATTGAAGCGCCCGCCCAGTCATAAGTTGCACCAAATAAGCGATTTTAGTAGAATCAGAGGCAAAGGCACAAGGTTGCTGTCTAAACACAAGAGAGCATTGCGTCAAAAAACCCCGGCTCCTCCCCAACTCGCCATCAAATTTTTCGGGTGCGGGGAGTGAGTACTCCCGCTGCCGCGGTGGAGGTGAAGGAGGAAGCGGACAGGCTGCCGCGGCTTCCAGCGAAGGGGCGGGCTGCGTTGGAGCCGTATTAGGTGAGGAAATCAACATACCTTTAAGCTCTGTCATGGCTTGCAGAAGCGCGGTTTGTTCCTTTGAAACGTGCTTCAGCATTTCCTCGTGTCGCTCCAAAACCTCCGCTTGGATAGACAGCTGGCGTGAAGCAGAATCCGCTGGGTCCATGGTGGTGGGATTATTCTGTCACGGAAAAGAGGGACCCAGGCGCGGTTCTTGCTCACAGAAACACAGTGCGTTTATTTACAGTGAAACAGACAAGTCCAACAATCCATTCAAAAGTGCAATTTTCCAATCGTGCTCGTCCCTTGCTCCCAGTGCGTTCCGTGTAGTAACTCCCTTCGTGTGTGTGCTCCCCAACTCGCTTCTCCGCTCGCCCCTCCAGTTCGGAGTAATAATCCCACGTCGACTGTCGCCGTGAGTCCAGGTTAAATACCCCTTTCTAGCCTGGAGGAATGATTACCAACCACTGGTCAGGTAATCAGCTGCAGGTGGGCTGGCAACAGCGAAGGGGGACTCCCAATGACGACAGTCGCCAGGACACGCCTCTCCCACGGCGCGCACTTCCGTAAACAACCCCGAGGACCAGGGAGGGAGAAGCAAACACATACAGAATACATAAACACAAGCAGGGTCGTCCGGAAAGGGCCGTCCGACCGTGACAATATGTTCACAAAATGTACCGTTTATATCTGCATTTCAAGTTCTACAAATAATTTACTCAACACGCCTGTGGTTTAACAGGAAAATATACGAGCAGGATTTGATGTTTTTGTGTGATTTCAGATCAGTTATGTTCAGTGTTGGGAAGGTTACTTTTAAAATGTATTCCATTACAGAATACAGAATACATGCCCCAAAATGTATTCTGTAACGTATTCCGTTACGTTACTCAATGACAGTAACGTATTCTGAATACTTTGGATTTCTTAATATATTATCATGCTGTTTACAACAACATGAATGTCCTATTGCTGTGTGATTTATTACTATTACTGAAGGTCCGCGACTCCGAACTGTAGTAAAGGGACCTCTGACTAATACGGCGGGGTCCCTGTCGGCTCGTAGCCGAAAAATAGCTTTACTTTGTTGTGTGGGTCAACTTTTCTTGCGAGAGACAGAGAGAGGCGTTGAAAGGCTGCTCCAACGGAACTTGTTGTTTTCAGAGGAAAACACGAACACGGTGTACAGTCGAGTCTTAACAGCTTACTTACAACTGGGCTCGTCAGGCTCTCTTCTTGGCTGCAGTGGTTATTATTATATTTACATGCTTCCAGCTCCCGTTTCTGCTCGACGACAGCTCGTACCTTTTTCTCCCTCCTCGCGCTCACAGACACATAATGTGTATGGCAGTCCATTCTCCCAGCAGCACGGACTACACTGCCCATGATGCTACATTCTTTAGAGCTATGCTTGTAGCCTTCTGCCTGTTAGCTTAGCACAACAACAACAACAACAACAACGAAAAGGCGCTCTCTCACCCAGGAAACACACAGTCGCAGAGAGAGAGAGCGTCACCCTGTAACCATGGCAACCGTAACGCTGCCGCCTGGAACAACAGAACGTAGCTGTCAAACAAAACCCAAACAGTCCTGACCCGCGACAAAATGAAACAGGAAAGTACCGCAGTGTAATCCATTTATTTCAACAAAGTAACTGTATTCTGAATACCACCTTTTTAAACGGTAACTGTAACGGAATACAGTTACTCATATTTTGTATTTTAAATACGTAACGGCGGTACATGTATTCCGTTACTCCCCAACACTGGTTATGTTAATACAGTACGTCATTCAGACACGTGAGGTCGAGCGGAAAAATTGATACCAAGCAAGCCAAGAAAATAAAATGAAACGATTCAGATTGAAGAGCTTTATTGTCAATACAGCAGCATACAGTGTACCGAAATTCTGTTTCACCCACGTCCTCCGTGGTGCATTTATAAGGATATAAAAGGTATATTTACAGGTGAAATACAAATGCAGACTCAAAAGGAGTCAAAGCTGGCCGGTTGTATTTTGGACCTCAGAGGGTTTAAAGCCAACAAATCCTTCAAAACTAGGTGGAAATTGTTGCTAATGACGACGCAGATTTCTGACATTTTGTGTAAATTTGAGCAACAATTAGATTTTTTTCTAACAAAAACAGTGAAACTGAAGCTAGACTTGTGTTTGTAAAGTAACCGCCCCGTGTTGTGTTGCTTTCTGGGTTTTATACTTATTAGGTACATATTCATTTATTATACGGGTTATACAGTACATAACATCAACATTCACGCTTTATGTAACTAAAGTGTTTCATTATGTGGGCTGCAGAAAATAATTAAGTTACAGATTATATTTCTATGAAAAGCATGTAAACTTACAGCATTTGAGTCATTTGAACCATAATGTAACACCTGCGTATGTGTTTGAAAAACAGGCTTTGACTTTGCCGCTCGTCTCTAGATGTGGCCCTGGGCTCCTGTGTCCGAGCAAAGACACCGTTTCAGTGTTGAGAGACATCACAGACTGTAAATAAACGATGGCCACTGTGACATCACTCGGTGTTTTCGGGGCTTCTCGTCCTGAAGTCTCATCATTAGCGACCTGAGCTAACCGCGGGTAACGACACTTTATGGTAACATGTCAGAGAAATATTTCAAAGTGAAAATAAATCAGTTTGATGATAAAAACGGAGCGGAGACAGTAAATACAGTCAGCTGATCTTTATTGCTCTAGAGTACACAACACATGGCAGCAGAGCGTCGACCAATCGGGCGACGTCCCGCGTGGCAGCGGTTTATCTGTTGCACAGATCAGAACTGCAACAGCTGGCAGTCATCACGGGCGGACGATTCAGGATCCTGCAGGCCAGCGACTTCAAGCAGCCCTTTGTGTGCGTTACCACTGTGAAAACCAAAGGACAGAAGTGACCGTCACACATCGTCCCAGCCGCTCACAGTGCCCGTGAGGCGGCCCAGCATGCATTTGTTCTCTTTTCTTTGCATAAACGTCAGAGCGACGCAAGGCGAGACTTACCCGGCCCAGAAGTGATGACGAGAGTAGAGCAGACGTCGTTGGAGCTGGAGCACGTCTCCACAGGACGTGAACAGAACTTCTGGCCTCCACAGTGACACTCCAAGGCTTCACCTGCAAAACACGTCAAAGAACCACCTTCAGCCGTCGCCAGCAGCCCCACGGTTCACTCACGCCGCGACAGACCGTCTTACAAACATCAAATAAATGTAACAGACGAACGGAGAGCAGGTCTGCGGGTTAACTCACTCTGACTGACGGCCAGCAGCAGCAGCACAGCGAGCATCACAGTCTTCATGTTTCTGCGGGAACAGGAAACTCAACCACAAACACTTCCCACCTGGACGATGATCCCGTCTGTCGGTCGGGCTTTTTATTTCTGCTTTTTGCCTAATTTGGGAAAACCCACAAATCCAGTTTAGCATTAACTGTGAAACCCCGGGAGCAGGTTGGTGTCGACATCAGCTGCTATTGACACTTTCTAAGATCCTTCTTGTTTCCTGAGTTTTCTCTGTGTAATAAAAACACTTATTTATGAACACGATGATGAAGTGTGTGGTTAAACTCCGAGCAAAGCCACCGTTTCAATGTTGAGAGAATCATGAGTCAGAGGGAAAAACCAGCTGGTTCAAAGTTTCTGTTTGCTGTGGACGCCCTCAGACCAGCTTTGATGCTTCCTGTACGTCTGGCGATGCTTCGCTGCTGCTGTGCTTCCTGTGCGCTCTAATTCATCAGCAGGGACAGTTTCTTTAATCCGAGGCTCACAGATAACAGGAAGTTCACACACAGAGCTTTTAGATTGCCCACAGGGTTTATGCTGTTTTGAGAAATCAATCACCTTTGCCTGTTTTCTTCTTCTTCGATCAATAAGAGGAGCAGGTCGGTTTTGTCTCCTTCATAATAGAAACCATCGTTTAAAAACTGAGGTGATCTGAGACGCTTTGTGTCACTAAAGCAGCAGCAGCAGCGTTTCACTGCGTCGTGTAGATGAGCTGATGACGTGTTTGTTTCTCTGTGAAGGAGACCTGAACTGCATCGCGGGGGCGACGTCCCGTAACGGAGCGTTCATCTGGGACGTCAGGAAAGGAAAAATCATCACTCGCTTCAACGAGGTGAGTAGGGCCGCGCCCCCGTGTGTCTGAACCCGATCGCACGATGCACAGCGTGATGCGTCTGTCTGTCTTCCTCCAGCACGGTAAGAACGGCATTTTCTGTATTTCCTGGAGCCACAAGGATTCAAAGCGGATCGCTACCTGCAGCGGAGACGGATTCTGGTGAGTGCTTCCTCTTCTCTCCCGACGACAGCGTCGTGTTTGTCCTTTGCAGTGATTCGTGTTTTTATTGTTGTTGTGGCGACAGCATCATCCGGACCATCGACGGTAAAATCCTGCACAAGTACAAACACCCCGCTGCTGTGTTCGGCTGCGACTGGAGCCAGAACAACAAGTAAGACCTGCGTCCACATCGTTGGGCTTCACTTGAATCATTTAAGCAACATGGTAGGATGTCACAGCTCGGAGAAGGAAAAACAGGGGACACAGGACGAGGACGGTGAGTGTCACAGCCCGGGCTGTCTGGAGGTTATCCAGGCACAAAACGTGTCACCCAAGTGCTTTAAAGGACCCAGCGGCTCGTTTACATGAACGTCTACGGCAGGTTCAGAGCTGGACGTCACACTGAACAGGGCTGAGTGCTGTTGTTACGGTTTAAGCCTCCTGCTCACCAGCTCTGTGAGTCCGATGAGTTTATGGTCCCAGTCGATGAAGAAGACATGATGTTCTTCTAAGTTCCTCTGTAGTGTCAACAATCAGCACGTGCTAAAGTGTACAGTAGAGCTAAATATGGGCTAATATCTACACACACACGATACACTGACCCCATCGTCCAGCAGCATGTACACCCTCCTGTAGCAGGACGAACCTGCGCTGATGTTTCCTGTGTGACTTCATTAGTCTGTCTCATCCAGGTGGAGGAGTCTTCTTCACAGCGTTGCTCATGCACAGCTCTCTGGAGGTCCAGCTCTGGCCTCTGGTTCAGACCTGGACTTTGTCCCATCGATGACCCAGTCTGGTCCGAGCTGTAGCCTCTGTGTTCACTCAGACCGCCCTCCCTCCTCCTTTGTGCTGACGGCTACTGCGAGCTGTTGGTTTCCTCCAAACGTGCTTCACAGACAAACGTCTGCACTTTGTTCTCGTCTGTTCCTGAGGTCTGTGCTTCGTATAGCTGCATCCACACAAAGCCAGCGCTGCAGTTCCTCTGATGTCCAGCAGTGTTTGTGTGAGCGAGAATAGAGAACGACGAGGTCACGGTTTGACCCGTCGGTATTTCCTATTTAAACCAGCATCACAGCGGGTTTACGTTTCCAGGGAAGAGTGTGCAGCAGCTCTGAGGGGTCAAAGGTCCGTGTGCACCGACATCAGCTGATGGAGGAGCTGTGGGTGGTGCGTGTTCGTTAACGCTGAGCAGCAGGTTGAAATAAAGCGCAGTGATCCTTTAAAGCTGTGAGAACGTCACCGTGTGCTTCTGTCTGCAGGGACATGATAGCGACGGGCTGCGAGGACAAGAACGTGCGCGTGTACTACCTGGCCACGAGCTCGGACCAGCCTCTGAAGGTGTTCACGGGACACCTGGCCAAGGTGTTCCACGTTCGCTGGTCCCCCCTGAGAGAGGGCATCCTGTGCTCTGGATCGGATGATGGGTGAGTGCAGACACACTGAGAGGAGGAGGCGGAGCACGCCGTCCCAAGTTAGCCTTGGTTCAAAGAGTGTGTGTGTGTGTGTGTGTGTGTGTGCAGGACTGTTCGTATCTGGGACTACACGCAGGACGCCTGCATCAATGTGCTGAGCGGGCACACGGCTCCGGTCAGAGGCCTGATGTGGAACACAGAGGTGCCTTACCTGCTCATCTCAGGTAACGTCTCTACAAGCGTCGCCTCCCCTGGTGTGTGAGTCGTGCGCAGTGGGCGGTCTCAGGAGACCGATGTGCTCGTTTGTGCTGTTTCGCAGGTTCCTGGGATTACACCATCAGAGTGTGGGACACCAGAGACGGCACGTGTTTAGACACGGTCTACGACCACGGAGCCGACGTGTACGGTGAGTCGGGCTCCGCTTCCCGTTTACGGCGCGCTTCAGTAAACATTCGTGTGCGTTCCTGTCACAGCCGCTCACTCTGTGCGTGTGCAGGTCTCACGTGCCATCAGAGCCGTCCCTTCACCATAGCGAGCTGCAGCAGGGACAGCACGGTGAGGCTGTGGTCCCTCACGCCGCTCATCTCCCCTCTGCTGCTGAACGTCCTCGCTGACCAGCCCTGGGAGAAGATCATCGGAAACACAGGTGGGAACTCACCTGAACTTTAATCTGCTCACTCGTGCTGCCGGTGTCATTGTTGTACCGCTGTGCTGCGGGGTCGCTAACCCCCGAACCTACAAGCTGCTTCAAAGTGACAAACGTTTGTTTCTATGGCGGCGTTACAGTTTCGTCATGGCGAGCGTTGAAGCGTCGAGCTCACTGCTTCTGATCGCTCCCTGATTTATGTCTTATTGTCACTATTTTAACTTTATGACCGTTTTTGTTTCTTATCATTATAATGAAGTCTCTGTGTGTGTGTGTGCGTGTGCGTGCGCGCGTGCGTGTGTGCGTGCGCGTGCGTGTGTGTGTGTGCAGACACAGCTATGGTTCCCGGCTCTCCGCCGCTGCTCTGTGGAAAAGTATCCAGAGACATCAAGCAGGAGCTGGACAAGCTGAGCTTCGACATCAGAGCCAAGAAGCTTCGCTGGTTCTCTGAATGCTTTTCGGTAACGACCTCGATGTCAGGTGCTGTTTAAGCCGACAGCGCGGGGCTGTGAGCTCGTAGCTCTCCATCAGAGTCCGAGTACGAGGAGCTGAGGAGAGCTTGCTGCTGCTCATCACGTCCACACTGAGCTCACAGAGATGAATCCTGCCTACACTGTTTAATATAACATTCATCATATGTAGGTCACCAGCCTGTCGCTGAGCTGCGTTTCTAATGATTCAGGTCAGTTTTATTTATACGGCACCAAATCAGGACAAAAGCCAGAGATGAATAATAACTAATGATTTATAGATAAAGTTGACTTTGAATTACAGAGAGGTGACCTGGAAGTCTCAGACCAGCCTTTGTGAAAGCAAAGGAGATACATCCCATAATTCACAGCAGCACAAGCTCAGACTCTTCATAAAGACCGCACGGTCCTTTTTCCAAGCTCTAGAACGATGTCATAGCTTAGTAACATCCTCTCACTGCTGTAATAGAGCTAAAAGCTAAGGTTCGCCGGGGGCGGAGCTTCTTCTGTTATGACCAATGACATTTATCCTTATTAAACTGAGACATGAGGGGAGAGTCTTTGGTCGTGTCCAAATTCATGGGCTGCATCCTTCTGAGGACCCGGCCTTCGCGGTCTACGTGGGCCGGGTCCTCAGAAGGTCGGTAGGCCGGAAGTAAACGGCTGACGGTCTCGCCTTCAGATTAGCGTCGCCGCTGTCTCGGTGGAGTTTAATAAACTCGGCCATCTGCTCCTTGCTATCTAAAATATAACAGGACACTGGAGGAAACTCTCGACCGTCTGTTTACTCGGTTTTCTGTTTGACGTTTATTCAGCTGTGTAAAAACCACCCGGGGGATTAATAAAGTTTTATTTTATCTAATCTAATAACTTTAATCTCAGCCAAACCGATTTACTCACGAACAAACAAAACACTGAAAAAAGCCCAACAATAACATTTTTAGGTTGTCTAAGTGACTTATATATCACGTTTAACCTGAGCAGCGAAAGTCCGCGGTGATCTGAACATGATGTGCCGGGAGTTGTGCCGTTCTCGGCGGCTTCAGTAACCCTCGAGCTCCCGGCTAGCTATCGAGCTGGTGGGTAACAGACGCCTCCGAAAACATCGAAGCACTTTAGCAAATATGCGATATCTTGATAAACCGAGCAGATATTTGATGTTTACACAGCTACTTTCTCACCTGAAAATATGTTAAATCTTTACTTTGTGACCCAGAAATATTAGTATGAGTAGTCAAAGGAGCTTGCAAAGAGAAGCGTCTGGACTTCTTTAAGTTGCTTGAAGACGTTTCACCTCTCATCCGAGAAGCTTCTTCAGTTCTAAGGTCAAATGGTGGAGAGTCCCAGATATAAGCCTAGTGGGAGTTTCCCCCCACAGAGGGACAAAAGGACCCCTGATGATCCTCTAATCGCCTGAGCCAAGGTGTGAAACTGGGTGTGGGTCCCAATCAGCCAGAGTTTCGGGTGTGTTCATTGTGAAACCTGGCCCCACCTTATCATGTGATGTCCTGAGGTCAGATGGCCCAGGATGTGAGTGGGCGTTAAGGCGTCTGGGGAGGATCTCAAAACTGGATTATAGATGGCAGAGAGTTGGTGTCGTAAGCCCCGCCTCTGTTCA